GCCTATTTTTTATTTGTGGAAATGAAGCATATTCTTACCTATCCACCAACTGGACTGGCACCTGCACTATCGCATACCTGTCCCCTAATATTTACATTGCCCCACCTAGTCAATCTCTACTCATCCCAATAGGGCATAATTCAGGCCCAAAAGAGCAGCCATCCTTTTTTTTTTTTTTTGAAACAGAGTCTCACTATGTCACCCTTGGTAGAGTTCTTTGGTGTCACAGCTCACAGCAACCTCCAGCTCTTGGGCTTAGGCGATTCTCTTGTCTCAGCCTCCCAACTAGCTGGGACTACAGGCACCTGCCACAAGGCCCGGCTACTTTTTGGTTGCAGTTTGGCTGGGGCTGGGTTCGAACCCACCACCCTCCATACATGGGGCCAGCGCCCTACTCAGTGAGCTACAGGAGCCACCCTATTCTTGGATTCTTAAACAGAAGTTAAATCTGACAGCCATAGAGATAAAAGCATAAAAGAAAGAAAAAAATATCACATCAAGGGGAATGGATATCTGGGGTTATTTCACTGAAGATAACCACGTCATCCTTTCAAAACGTTGAGTTACATGGAAAGTATCATTTGATGAAAGCAGACTAGAGGGTAATGAAATAGAATGGGAGTCATGAGAAGAGGATATCATTCTTCTTCTCTATCAAATTCTTTTTTTTTTGGCCAGGGCTGGGTTTGAACCTGCTACCTCTAGCATATGGAGCCAGCGCCCTACCCTTTTGAGCCACAGGCACGGCCCTTCTCCATCAAATTTTTAACTTGTTTTCAGACTGGCAAATTTCAGAAGGCTCTAACCATATGACTAGAAAGAATTAACTAGTAAAGGCCTTACCCTTCTGCTGGTCACTCATCCCTCTCATGGAGAGTAAGCCCTTGCCACAGCATTTATTTTACTCCCATGGAGGACAAAGCACCTAAAATGCCAAGAAGTGGATGAGTGCAGGACTCTGGGACGCTTTCATCCATACTTTGGACATTTGTTCCTATATTATACTTTATTATTGTAGTAAAATAAACTTATTCGCTGACAAATGGATTTCATCTAGATTTTAGGTTCATAAATTTATATTAATTTGTAGTCTCTATGATAACTAAAACTAAACAAAAAAATCCCTAGTAATTCCTCCAGACAATAATATGCACAGGCAAGTCTGGCACAGGGTATAATGCCGCACTATCGCATTAGTAAGACTGTAGAAAACAGAGCACATAAAGCGTGCAAATTCGAGACCGTTTTGCTACTCAGACTGCCATTATCAACTCAGTCATCTCAGTGATCTAGATCTGCTGTAGGCACAGTAAGTGCAATGCCTCACTAATGTACTGTAGCTACTATTTCAGTTCTCCCTGAACCTAAGTTTCACGCAGGCTTAAAATATCAGATCATTAAAACTGAAGTCATACGTTGTTTAATACTTAAAGCCAAGACTCAACATTTTGAAACTACGAAGTAGTCAGAAAGTTCAACAGCAACTAAAAATTTAGTTTTATGATGAAATGAACAGAAATGTAGCCATTTTAAAAAACCTTCAAAACACAGAGTCAAGACCTTTGTTGGGTAAGGTCCATATGATAGTTCAATAAGTATACACAAAATACAGGATAACTTAGATTATTCCCCTGAAATCACATGATAGCCAAGGTGAGGAAGCTACAGAGATGTTACCACAAAGACTGAGTATTGAGCTACTGATCCAATACATCACTTACATGATTTGTATTGTATTGTATTTATTTATTTATTTTTGAGACAGAGCCTCAAGCTATCCCCCTGGGTAGAGTGCTATGGCATCACAGCTCACAGCAACCTCCAACTCCTGGGCTCAAGGGAGTCTCCT